CGACGACGATGGCCCGGGGTGTGTATGGCGTCGTCGTCGTCGTCGTGCTAGAGGGCCGCGGTCAGCTACTCAGCAGCTCCCAGTTCCGCAGAGCGAACCACACGGCAGGGCCGCGCGGCGCGAGCTGCGGGTGGGGCGATCTGAATTAGAGATGAACCCCCCGCCGCCGCACCCCGTTCCGCCACCCAAGGTGCGGGGCCGACGCGCCCCGTCCCGCACCCCGCCCGTAAACCAAAAAGTGTTCCGCCAACACCGGCACCACGGCGGCCGGCCCGGCGAGGCTCGTCGAGGGCTTCCTGCGAGGAGGGGTGGACATCGCAACGGTTTCGTCGAAAGGAAGAGGGGTGTGTGAAAGCGATATCCTTATCGCACTTGTCGGACTCACACGAGCAAAAAAAATCGCAAGCGGTCGTCGTCGGCGGGCCTTGAGTGGGGTAAAGTGTGAAAGGGGACACTAAAGATACGCCGCCGTCTCTCAGCATAAAATCTTGAAAAATTCGTGTTCCTCTATCCCCGCCGCGCTGGAGAAGGAGCCAGACAACTAGGCGGGAGAAGGGTGGGTCGGGGGCGAGGGGTGGACCATACTTCGATGTTCCATGTACATACTGAAAAGTATTCCAAAAATATTCCGGATAGTCCAAAAGTATTCCAGATATTACATGCACACCAAAACTCTGAGTGGTCGACCCCTCGGTCGGGGGTGAAAAGGGGTAAGGAGGAATGATGATAAGCAGCAGATTAAGCAGACACCCCCCTCCCCTTCACAGTGCTAGGCTATCCGGTCTCACCTCACCATATCGTGCTTCTTGCAGACAAGTGTCCAACATATCTCCGGTTAGAGCCCAACAAGGCCCTGCGTGGCCTTGCGCCGCGGGGTGCGATTGGCGAGACACTGTCCATATTGACCAGCTAGCGAGCGCCCCGGGCGACCACAGCTTGTCGAGAATTGACAATGTGTGTGGGGTTTGTGTGAAATCGATCCCCCCGGGAGGTGGGCGCAGGGCCAGAGTGTCGAAAACGACTGGACGTAGCACCCGGAAGAAGAAGCGTCCGTGTATGTCGTGTTGCTAAAGGGAAGAGAGCCGAGGGGGAGGGGGGGGTGCAGTCTACAAATGGAAATAGCAAACTGTGTAAGCAGCCATCGTGTGATCATGGTGGTCTCATAAGCCGTACGATGGCTGTCACTTGGCTCCTTTTCTCCGGTTGAGTAAGGAGAATGACGGCAAGGGGGAGGGAGGGGGAGGGGAGGAGAGGGGGCGGGACAACTTGACCCCCTCCCCCCCTTTTTATCCCCACGAGCCCCCGGGCCTTAAAGAAACTGGCCAGCGGCCACCCAGGCAGAAATTAAAATTTAGTGGATTCGACGTCGATGATTTCGGGGTCGGTTCGACGTCGCGATTGATTTCTGACCCGGGCTGCCTCAGCGTTTCCGACCCTCTCCCGCCATAGCCCACTGTGTTGCTAACGTTAGGTGGAGCAGGACTTAACACTGAACCGAATAATAACCCCTTCAGCGACTAGCAACCTGCGAACTGGATGTGGCAGTAGTAGCAATGGACAGAAAGTAAAATAAAGTCATGTAGTGACCCATATCATAGTTCATGCTTTCAACCCCCGCAAAAAAGGACACTACAAAAATAATGTAACGGCACAGTTAATAAAAGTTACAAGAAAGGTATCACGATATTCTACGTTTACGTGGAGAGATTCGTCCCCTATACTTTCATACATTTTTAGTTTAGGCTCGCGGCTCAAACAGCGCGCTGCCAAGGCTGAGTGCAAGCTGCGAGCCCCATTTGAACGGCCGCGGCGGCCCACCGTTGATAGGGACCTTAGTTTCGCTTCACCGTGAAGTCGTGTCTCTCTGTCTCATACACCACTGAGTACTCACCTTCTTCCAGAGCGTGTACAGCTGATGATTGCCTCCTCGGTGCAGGCTGCCCATCTTTGCAAAGAGCGGCAAAAGAGCAGGGCAGGAGAGGTTCTCTTTGGTCTTGTGGCGGCGATCACGACGGCGGCGGCCTCGTGCGTGCGGAGATGTTGTTGTGGTGCTGGTGCTGGCCGACACGCGCGCGTTGGACCGACTCGTGCTGTACGCGTGCGCGCGCGCGCGTCTCGTCTGGCAGGGCCGCCCGTGTCGCGGGCGCAGTCGAACAGAAGCGCGCGCGCGTGTGGCGGAGAACAACAAGTAGTGCGTCGTGCTGCTCCGAGGTGGGTCGAAATAATTTTTTATCGGCTACACGACTGCGAAATATTCGAAGTGCGATTTTTGTTGTTTTTGCAACGGCCTCAACACCACATGGTCCGCACTCAAAAGTTTGTTGTTGCGCTCGTGACTGCTTCTCATCATCGGCGGAGCGATACACACACAGAGGTCGGTAGCGGGTCAAGTTTGAAATCGAAACAATAACGGATGCGATGTGGAAAGAAAACTATACTATAATTACAATTAAATAAAATTACACATGTAGTAACAACAGGATGCGGGGGGAAAAAATGCAAAAAGTAGCATTCCTATCTTTACAGGGGTATTTGAGTTTTTCCAGCAAGATTATAGAAACGAGTTAAAATGGGCTTCGAGTGGGGGCAGTTGTCACCCAGTGCTTCAGAGTGTTTGATCCAGTAGTCCAGCAACTCCTGCACCATAGTTCGCTGCAGCATTGGTGGTGCCTTCCGGCAAATCCTCATAGCTTCGCCCTGAAATTTGAGAATATTTGTAAAATCTTGAAAACAATTCCAACTTATCCGTAGAATAATGGATAGCATGTGGCAGCACGTTACCTTAATATGGGTTACAATACAGAGCGGTCTGCATTCTTGCAAATCACAATACAATCTGCTTAATTCCAGGGTTTCTCTGAGTTCTTTGACTCCACAATAATTCAAAACCTCTGGTACTGCAGTCAAAAATGCAGTTTGATCACCTTAACAGAAACAAATCTAGCTCAGTTGTATCGATATAGATAAAGAACAACATTGAAAAGACATCCAGTTCAAGATATTTACCACGAACTTCAATTCTAAAGCCATTTTTCACAATGAAATCAGCCGAAATTATTTTAGAGCCCTTGAGTGGTTCTTGAGTGAGTGGTAGAGACACAAGCATCTTCCAGGCCTCCTCGCCTAAACATCTAGTTCCAAGAAAGTGAAAAGATTTAAATTTGATGAATGAGAGACAATTTTCTCACTTATTTTTTTAAGAGACTTACGCTTGATCCAACTGCTGCCATGGGTTTAATGGTTTTGCAACTACACCGTGTGTACACAAAAGACGATGGTTTACTACCACCTCTTGCAATCTGCTATGATTCAAAACAATTATATCTGAATTTTGTACACATATCCATGTACCACTCGGTTCTAGCTGCCCAATAAGACGAATTGTAGAGTTTTCCTGCCTGCGAATAAAGTTTAAGCTCATATGTTAAAATATTAACTGATTAGTGTCAATGTGTAAGCAAAAGTAATTGTACCATTTAATGGACAGTGCTGCAGTTTGCAAATTCATCTTAATATCTTCCATGTTTATCTTGCTTGATACTTCCTTCCTGACAGGTCGATCTTTCTTGATTGACAATCGAGTTTTCTCTCTTTTCTCTGGAAGTTTTGTGACCCAATCCATTTTCTTCTGTTTGTCTTGAGTTTTCCACACCTTAATTAAAAGAAATTTTGAAATATTATTTAACCTACTAGAAGTGTAGAAAAGATTGCTATAAAATTTACCTTTTTACTAGTAGCTGTTTGTCTTGCCAGTTCTTCGTAATGTTCCTTTTCCATGGCTGATAGACTCTGCCACTTTTGTGCCAATGTTGAGGCTACATTGGTAAAAGAAATGCCAGGATTTTCCAAGATGACTAAGAAAACAAACAAACACAGAGAAACATAGATCAGGAATAAATCCTCATTCCAACAGATAAAAACTTTAAGCACACTACCTACTTTGAGGCCGAATTTCTCTAGCAAATTTAGTGAAAGCAGCTAACTCTCTTCTTCCCATTTGGCTACTAACACTGCAGTCCATTCTAGGAGATGACCCCATAATATCATATCCTCTAGAAACGAGATTTTTCAAATTGGTGACAGGAAGAAAATAAAAGCACACATGCAGGAAAACAGCAAACAAACCTAGGACTCTTCTGGGCTTTGACAGATTTTGGGCTTTTGTTTGAGACTTCTTGAGGTGGATCTAATGTAAAATTATCATCTTGTAAATTAGATGACGGCTTTTCAAGTCGGCCAAATGAAGGCACAGAAGGCCTACCAACCAGCACAGATGATCCCTAGTCAGAGAATATTTTTAGTTCTTTCAGTGCCTTTTAAACATAGGAATTAATGTTAAATTGCCTCCTTTACCTTTACAAGTTCTCCTGTGCCCACACCAACATGACCCATACTCCATGCCTCAGAACCGATAAGATCAGTAGAGGGACAGTTACCACTTTCATTATGCGTTGAAGTCGCAATTGCAAAATCATCTAAACATCCAAGATCAGTGAGCTCTTTCTCATTGATATCGTCCCATAAATTTTCCAAGCCAGAATCTGATGCTTGCTTCCCATGAACATTTTTGCCATCTGATACACTCCCATTTTCTGGTCTGATAGCATGATTACTGGTAACATTTTCATTTATTACATTTGTCTGGGGTGGTGAAAAATGAAGACAATTTGTTTGAGGATCCACAGATCTCTCACATTCAGCAGATCCGAGAAACACATGGCTTGTATTCTCTGATTGAAGGGGTGAAATATGGTCGGTTGTATCTACAGTTTGATCCTTCATATCTACAGCCTGAAAATCACTTTCGGAACATGACAAGATATTGGACCCTACTTCCTTATCTTGTAAAAAACTGTTGGTTGTGTTTGCAGTTTGATTTCTTAAATCAACAGAATGGAGAAGATCATTCCCAGAACATGGCAAGACATTGGATTCTTCTTCCTTTCCCTCTTTACTTGGAGCACAAAATATTTTTTTGCAGTACTCAGTCTTGCTGGGGGTTTTAGGAAGAATCTCATTTGAGTTGAGAGATACATCAATGACCTTTCCACATTCCATATCAGATGGTTGATCGTCAAGTTTTATTCTCTTTCTGGAGGATTCTTCATGAACCTCTTTGAATGGTGAGTGTGGTAGACACTCTTTCTCCTTGACTGGTTCAACAAGCACAGGGGAAGCCTCTTGCACAAAAGTTACAATGCTGTAATAATCATGAAGACATTTTTCCATTCCATTTAATATTTCATCCTGACCAAAAACATAAATAAATACAAATAGTTAGGTGCATACGTGAGGTCTGAAATTTCCATTTCTCTAGTATTTAACAGCACAAAACCTACCTCATCTTTTAAAAGAACCTTGGTCTTATTTGGCTCCAAATTGACATCTAAATTGGAAGGATTTGAGTTTATGGAGATGAGGCTAACAGCAAATTTCCTAGAGGAAAAATTATCTCCAAACTTCTTTATCAGCTCCTGATGTAAGATCTGTATTTTTGAAGACAAATCAGTAAAATTTATCTGTTGCTTAAACTTCATCACCATAATAAACCAGATGTTTGTTGCTTACCTTTACAACTTTCTTGTAAGTCACTGGTCTTGTGTTTACAAATACTAAAGAAAAATTTGGGGTGGATTTTGTAACAACAGTAATATCACAGTCTCTTTTTGGTACAAGCATCTCAATAGAAGCCTGGAGAACAGGGAAAAGTCATAGGTATAAGAAATGTGAAAGTACCAGAAACTCAAAAAGTACACTAATGGAGATTCAGAGCAAAGAATATATTACCTCACAGGTTTTCAAAGTCAAATGCTCTAAATGTTGAAATGAAGAATATCCTACTAACTGAGAAAATGAATTTTGTAAGGTAGCACACGGTGTTTTCTGCCAAATCATGCATTTGTTATGAAAAAGTGCCACTCGAATATTAGGCTTAATAACTGCGAGTGACTTAACAACCATTTCAACCTGCTTCAACTCCTCTTGGGCCTTACGACTCGTTCCCATAAACTGCCTGCGTACAGGCAAATTTTTAAATAACTGAGCAACAACAACAGTGGTACCTGGGAAATTAAAATAAAGTCATGAAAATATAAATCGCCCAGCAGGCCTTAAGAGAAAACTACTGCACTGCAAATTAGTTACCTTGAACATGAGGTGATGGTTTGGTCCCAGAAATATTACCAGAGGAGTCGAGGGTGTAGACCATGGCCATTGGATCGGAGGACGTGGCTGTAATGATACTAACTTGGCCTACACTACACAGAGCATTTAGAGCTTCGCCCCGAAATCCGTAAGTTTCAAGTGATTCTGAAAGCCAACACAACTTGGTGAAATAATGTAACACAAACATTCAAGAAACTGTTGTTTTCCACATCAAACAAGAGACCAAACCTAAATCATTAAAATCTGAAAGCTTTGATGTGTAATGGGGAAGTGCCATGCATTGCGTGTTCTCTTTGCTAATTCCGGAACCATTATCTTTTACTTCGAGGCGGTCTAAGCCAAAGTTCATCTGTACAGAAAAGTAAAAATATGAAAAATACAACATATGGCAGAGTGACAATCGATGAACTTTTTCGAAATTAAAAACCAGACATCTGACCAATTTGACATCAATAGAAGTTGCCCCTGCATCCAGAGCATTCTCAAACAGTTCTTTGACTGCACTCGAGACGGAGGTTATGATTTGAGAACTTGTGATAAGCTTAACGGTTGAAGCTGGAAGCTGAGCGAGTGACATCTTTCTGGATTAATTTGCCATCCATCCAAATTATTAAAGTATTTCATGGAAGCATGCAGCTTATTTTTAAATGTTTGGAACTGTCGTTAAATTAGCTATTCAACACAGTAAACACAAAATATAGTCCGGCCAGCCAAAGGTGACGCCTGGCGTAGCAGGGGCTCTTATGGGCGGCTACAGCAAACCCAGGCGTCACCTTTGGCTGGCCGGACTATAAAATTCTCCCGCCTAGCAGACGACTCAATCATGGCCACATAGAGAACAGTCAACATCGTGAGGTTTTCTACTAGACCGTGGTTTTTCTTATGTCTTGAAATGACTTACACGACGTAAACTAAAACTCTGCTTGATATATGGGTGTGTTCAATGATACCTCAATTACTAAGTTGGAACGGGGATATGCAAAAACGTCTAATTTTTGTACCACATCATCCAGTTCAAGCGTTCAAGCAGACCCCTTTCAAATTTCGTGCCAGGACATTACTTTTCTCAGAATATCCACGGTGCCAACAACAGGGTATTAAAATGTCCAGTGTCTTCCTGAGATATGCAAAACATGAACCAGATATACCAAAAACTATTATTTTAATGGAAATTGTAGTTCTATTTGTGACTTTTAGGCTGTTGAATCACGATAATCTCGACTTTTTAACAAAAGATGATTATAAGCCTCCGTTGGCACACGTTCTTCGCCCGGCGTAAATAAAAAAATAAATGAGAAAAAAAACACACACCAGAAATAATTGTTTATGTTTTGCCCGTGCGTGTCTTCTGTTGGAATGTCAGTCTTTTGTGTTGCATTCTGTTTCTCTTAAACTTTTTCGCCACAATGAGCTTTCCGCCTAATATCTTGTCCGTCACGCCGCCGGGACTGGACTCCCTTTATTCGCTTTGCCGACGAGTTTATCCCAACCAACCGAATCCTTTGCAAGTGACTGCTTTGGTGAAATATTGGTGAGTCTTTTTTGTGAGGTTAAACCGGTATATACTTACCTTTATGACCGAGTCCTAAGTCTATTTCTGATTTTATTGTTACTCGGTTCATTTTTTAACTCAATTTGATTATGTATAACCTGCTTGTTTCTTTTTCATCACATTTTGGATATCTATTGTCTCTGTCATGTGTTTCATCAAAGGTTTCACCTTTCAGGTTGGGAGGTCCTGATCCGTTGGATTATATATCTATGTACTCTCACCAGGGTGATGCAGAAACCAAGACGCCAGCTCACTGGCATTACATAAGGTTTGTTCTTTTATTTTTGGTCTCAACCATTTTTTTTTGTTCAGTGCATGTAAACGTGTCCTGCAAGTGCCTTTTTGTTTGTTTTCCAAGTGAGTGAACTCAAATCGTCTTTTCAGTTTTGGCCTATCAGATCTGCATGGTGATGGCCGCGTTCATGAAGTATCTGGAAACGATTCTCCTAGTGGATTTGGATTTGAGCTGACGTTTCGGTTAAGAAGAGAGCCTGGAGAAACTTCACCTCCCACCTGGCCTGCAGCACTCATGCAAGCTTTAGCCAAATATGTTTTTCAGTCTGGTAAGGCTTTCGATTAGTGAGTTCTTAGAACTAACATTGTATGTGTTCCATTCAAAACATTTAAATCAATTTAATTTTTTGTAGGCAATATTCTATGCTCTGGAGACCATGTATCTTGGCACAATGCTCTTGATAATGGTGAGTCTCGCATACAGCATATGCTGATGACTGAGGATCCTGTTCTTGGTTCTCTGCAAACTCCTCTTGGACAAGTTACATTCATCCAGATTGTTGGAGTCTGCCAAGAAGAGCTTCAAGCAGCTCAGCGATGGAATGGAAAAGGGATGATTGATATCCTTAAACAAACAGATGGGTATGAACAAAATCTGCAATATTTTTTTCCTTAAAATATTTTTTTTGAAGCAGCCAACTTATTTATTTACCTATCTACATTATCACTTTAGGGCAGGAGGACCCTGGTTGGTGACAGATATGAGAAGAGGAGAAAGCATACTTGAATTAGATGTGTGTGTTCAAGAAGAAATTGAGTTAGGAATTGAAACTGATGGATCTGATCTGAGTGGAGTGAGTGCTCGCTGCTCATGGGTTGAATCTGATCCAGATCAAGTGTCACCCTGCTCTACTGGTGAGTTGCTTGACATGCATTTATTTGAATCTTGTGTTTTGTTGTCTGTGATCCCAAAAACAGCACCCCATTTTGTTTTGTCTATCTAAAATGATGATGATTTTACATTTTCATTAGATAATGAAGACAGTGGAGAAGGGGGTAATCTTAAAGAAGGACCTGCCATCAAACCAGAAAATCACAATCAGTCTACAAAATCCCATGTGGGGTCACCAATACCACCTGCCGTATCAGAAGAAGAGAGAATTAGAATAAAATCTGAACTGAGGAAAGGATTACTAAGCAACAGAAGCAAGGATTCTAATGATAGGCTTTCATCACCCTTTGATAGGTGGGTAGTGATGTAGCATCCATCTCTTTCAAAATCTTAATGGACTTGAAGACAGCAATAAATTTACTTCTTATTCAATTGGTTCTGCAGCAATGGAAATTCTTGCCGGAAAAACTCATTTGATGATTCCTCACAAGGGCTGGAATCAACCGAATTAATGCGGACCAGGCGTTTAGATGGACTGCACCTTACCTTTAACCTTGAATCTGGCTTGTTGCTTCCTCTAGCTATCCGGTAAGATGTTTTTTCTTATGTGCTTAGTTGGTATTCAAACCTACATTTCTCCTGTGCTATTGTTGTTCTCTTTTTCCTTTTTCCAGTGGTCGTGTTCAGCATGGGCGCCATTTTACTTTTAAGTCTGTACTGGGTGACACTGCTATAACTTTGGTTGCATCAAATGTCACCGGCACCTTTGTAACTGCTGACAATCCCTTTGTTGCTCATGGACCATGGCTTCAAGTGTTGGTGTCAGAAGACCTTGCTCAGCAAATGTCAGAGAGCTTTGAGCTTCTGACAAATGAAGTTAGTAGAGTTGAAATTCAAATATTTAGCTGTGGAATTGTGGCTTCTGTTGAAAGACTCATACTTAACTACAATTTGTATTCTGTTGCAGATTTCTCTTCCAAAAGTATTCACATGGAAGGGGCACAAACTGGCAATAACAATTGTTGCAGACTGAACTTAAGATTTCTGAATATGTGACTATGAAAGATATTTATATTAAATGTTATCAATATTTATTTTTAGAGTAGCCAATAAATTAATGCCAGCAAGAGACTGTGCTGAAACAACATCAACTTGACATGTTTTGATGTAAAACATGTTGATTTGATCTAATTTCAAAACAATTTCTTTCAAGCAAACTAATTTTAACTCAAGAGTGTTTCTTGTTCTTGAAAATAGTAACCCATTTTGTCTCATAATGGAGGAGTAAAAAAGTGTTCTACAAGAAATGAACGGAGGCAAATATTTTTTAAAGATAGATTTTATTTAATTATACAAAGTTACAGAGTCAGAGAGAAAAACTCAAGATGGCAGTTTCCTTCACTGACATGAATGCATCATGCTCGTGGCATTTGAAACCTAGTATTCCAGTGACGTTTGAAACTTACGTACTTCCACCAGTGACATTTTGTATTGTTAAATAATATACTTGCCAAAAAAGTAGTTTCACCCATAATTTGGAAGTGGATAACACAAAGAAAAAATGTTTTCTTGAAGCAAATGTGAGCTGCCTGCTGCCATCTGTTTTCTCACCTTTCACATAACAACAATTGACATTCATACTCACATTGTTAATCCAGTATCCTTCAATTTTTTTTCCTCAGTTAAAATAAAAGCAGACTTAACAAAAATTTGATTGCTAGCACATGATAATTTATTAAGAGTCTACATTTTCCCATTTGGAAACAAATTTTAAAAGTATAATTTGAAGAATGAAAAACTGTAGGCTTTTTGATATTTTAGTTCTAAGAAGAAATTTAGGGAAACAACAGTATCATCACATCAAAGCATGAACTTTAAGAATATTTGGTATTTAAGGGAGGGGCACTATTTATTGACAAAAAACAACAACAAAATGTGCGTTTGATACATAAAAATAATTTTGAGGTCCTCTCTCATCCAGAAGATCGGATTCCGTCGTAAAACATGGAGGTAATTCTCACCGGAAACACAAAAACCGAGTGAGATTGGTGCCGCAACATTACTGAGCATTTTCACGCACACAGGGTCGCCAATGTTTGCCCACGTCCCGAGAACTGAGGCGAGGAAGGGTTGAAACAGAGGGGCGAAGGAAGGGGGGGGGGGCACCCGCGCAGGCCGGCGCGGCGATACCCCTGCCTGCAGCGCCCCCGCGGCGGCGGGGAGGGGGCGGGGGCCACGAGGCCAGGAGTCAAGGAAATGAAATGGAAGAGAATAGGGGGCTGTCAATCACATCGACCTCCCCGCTGGCTGCCGCTTGGCGCAGCTCGCGCGCCCCTGTGGGGAGGGGCGAGCGATAGGTTTAATAGAAAGAGTGCAGCTCGCTCGCGAAGCGACGCGGGCTGCCACGGAGCAGAGGAGATTGGGGTGGGGGGGAGAGAAAGTAACGGTGTGTCATGTTTGAACTGCTCAGGTAAGGTCGCAATCCCCTATACAACGGCCGTACGTGAGCAGACAAATCAACTGAAGAGTCCTGTCGTGTTTGGAACTGCGGGGGAAGGGAGGGAGCGAGCTGACGTTGTTGTGGTTGATGGTGGTGGTGGTGGTCGTGATGATGATGATGATGATGTTGGTGGTGAGGAACTCGAGGCCCCGGCGGCGCCTGGCCGCGGCCTCGGCGACATCGCCGCGCTGCGTCTCGCCACGCCACGCCGCCCGCGCCGCTCACTCGTCGCCGCCCTCCTTACGGACCTTGTGGCCCCGGAAGGTGGACTGGATCTTGGTGGCGGCCTTGTGCAGCTCCGGGTCCGTCAGATCTATGTCGGCCAGCTCGTCGGCCAGCTCCTTGGCCGCGGCGGCGTCCGCCTCCTCCTGCAACAGAGAGCGCCCGTGGTCAGGGGGAGGTCGGCGTGACGCCGCGGGGGTTGCCGTCAGAGAGGTCAGCGTCCGGTGGCCGAAAGGGAGGACGGCGTCACCAGGGGGTGGCCGTCAGAGAGGAGAGGTCGGCGTCACCGGGGGTGGCCGTCAGAGAGGTCAGCGTCACCGCGGGGTGGCCGCCAGGGAGGTCGAAGTCACAGGGAGAGGTGGCCGACAGAGAGGTCGGCGTCACCGAGGGTGGCCGTCAGAGAGGAGAGGTCGGCGTTACCGAGGGGTGGCCGTCAGGGAGGTCGCGTTGTACTCACCTTGTCCTTGGCCTTGGCCTCCTCCTCCGCTTTGTCGCCGGCCTTGCGTGCCACGTGCCCCCTGAAGGAGGCCTGGATCTTGGTGGCCGCGTTGCACAGCTCTGCAACAGAAAACAGATCACGGGCTCGTCAGTCGGGGCTGTTGGCATACATCGCACAGAAATACACAACACATTCAGGAAAGAGCCCGAGAGAAGAGCGGATGAACAAAGGCGCATCTCCAGTGGACGGTATTTTCATCCCCATTTCACTCGTGAATAAAGTACGACCCCGCTCAGAAACAGATACGACGTCACCACGTTGAAGCACAAGCCGAGCGAGAACTCCAATGTGTCAAGTCCGCGTGCAAGTCACTTCACTTCACTTTGAGACCGTGTAGCAGGTCTCCACCACAGCAGACCTCGCAGTTCCCGCAGACATGCCCTTCGAGAGCAGCAGCACCCTTCACAGAAACGCGCGCCGTTTTGCTGCGCGCACATTGTACAGCGCGCGGAGGGGCGTACACATGGAGGAGGCCAGCAGGTGCAGCTCTCCGACCCTCGCGCACCTGGGGCGTAATGCAGCCTCGACCAGCTGGCCTGGGAGCGAGGGGCTTAGGGGCAAAGAAATACTGCGTCTGTAGGGGAAACGTGCATGTGCGTTTGCGTGTTAGTGTGTGTATGTGTGTGTGTGTGTGAGTGCGTCGTCGCGCAAGGCACAAAACCCACGACGACTATTACTATTAAAATGCGGTATCCCAGCTGCAGAGAACTTTTGTGCGGACGAACCCCGAGGAGAATTATAAGGTGATTCGGGGAAAGGCAAGTCAGGGCGCCGGTTGCCGGGTTGCCGGTTGCGACGACTACTTCAGCGAAAATCACTACTACTTCGCCTCGCTCTCCAGTCTCGTTTCGTCTCTCCCCGCCCCGCCACGCCCCGCCTACGCTCCAAAGTATGAATTGGTAAAGGGGGCACACTTTGAGCTGATTACTAAGCCAGGACGCGGCCCTCCTCTCCTTTGCATTGTCTCTCTTTCGCTCACTAGTTCTCTATCCCCTCTCGCTTTCTCTTCCTCTTACTCTCTCGCTTCCCATCTCGCTCCATCTCTCTTCCATAGCTCACACCTTTTTGTCCCTAATTGCTAATTCCATGCCACCAATCAGTCCCGATATTCCCCCATTATTCTTTCAGTAAGGAAAAGCTGCCCCTTCTCTCTTATTCACCAGCCTCGCAACCCCTCTCCCTGCCCCCTGCCCCCCAACCTCCACTGCTCAGCCCAGGTTCACTCCCTCTGCCTCGGCGACCATGCGGGCCGGACCCCCCTTGCCTCTCTAAATAACTACGAACGGCTCGAGCACGAGCGGCCTACGAGCAAGAGAGAGAAAGAGAGAGAGGGGGAGGGTCAGCAACAGCAGTAGCAGCAGTAGCAGCAGTAGCAACAGTAGCAACAGCAGCAGCGCATGTCCATGTCGAGGATGTCAGCAGCTCTCCTCGTCCGCCGGCACGACAAGTACGTCTACTCGGTCTACTGGCGAACACAGAGAGGCCCGCCGCCGACCCGCGCGCTCAGCTAACGGTCACCGAGACCTTTCGTGTCGCACGTGACGGCACGGGGCAGGGCAGGGCAGGGCGGGGCGGGGCGGGGCGTTCTCGCTCTAAGGGAGCCCCGGGGCTAAAACGGCTAAAACGCGCGCGCGGCGTTCCGCGGCCGGCGCGCAGGCCGTGTCCCTGCTGGTCGATAACCCCTCGCCAGCCTCGGCACGCCTCCGTGGGGGGGATCGGGGGGCACAGGCCGCATCGCGCGCCAACACTGTTTCACACCTGAGGGTCCGAGAGAGAGAGAGAGGCGGGAA